CTCTACCAGAAACTCAGCAGCGGCATTAGAATTTGTTCAAGTCTCTCCAATCTCAAGTGGAAAAGGAGAGAAAGAGCGAAAGAAAGAGAAAGAGAGCGAGAGAGTAAGAGAAAAGAGAAAGAAAAGGAAACCACAGATCCCACATTTCCTCCCTATCCTGCATGTCTATCTGGTTTCTCAGTTGCCTGAACCAGCTGCTCTTCCTCTTCCAAACACAGTGGTCTTTTTCTCCAGGCCAGCCCCCTTCTCTTCTCACCCCACACCCCTCCTCAGATGATCTTTTGGTTATGTGATGATTATTTACATGCAACAGCTCCCAACATGGACTTCCTTCCACCTCACCACTTTCAAGAGTTCCAGATGCCAATTCCTTGGTCTTCACTTGGGTGTCTCCCAAGCAAAACCTATCCCAATGGATCACCTTCCCTCCCCGACCCCAGGGTTCGCTAACACCATAAATGGCCTCACCACCCCATCCCACTCAGTTATTTATGCCAGAAACTTGCACAACATCCTCCATATTGCCCTGTCCATCAACCACATCCAAATAATCACCACTTTCATGTTGACTTTAGCTACAGACTCACCCTCTCTCTTTCCCTCCTCCCCCCAACCCCTCTGCCTCTGGCTTCTACTCAGCATCACTGCACCATGCCCTGGTGATAGCAAAAACCTTTGCACTCTGCCCATACCGCATCCTGCCCCTCAGCAGAGTATGTGTGCAAAGCGACAGGCTGAGGGCCTGAGGCCTTTGGTCTGGCCCAGCTGGGACAAAGTAGTGCATCTTACCTAGTCTGTACAAAGACTTCACACATACCAGCCCACCCTAACCCTGCAAACCATTCTCCACACAGCAGTGATGATGATCTTTTCAAAAACCCAAACTTAGTCACTCATCTCATCTACCATTTAAGGTCCTTCAAAAGGTTCCCATTACCTTTCCGTCTAAGTCCAAAGTCCTGAAAATGACCTGAGAGGCCTCATCCCAAAGCTATATTCCTGGCCTTGGTCTCAACCCTTCTAACATGGAACTCAGGCCCCTAATTCACCTGACTACTTTCTATTCATTTTTCAGGCCTTATTTTAAATACCACTTTCTAGGGAGACCTACCCTGAGTAATCCCCTCCCCTCAGATTAAATGCTCTCTGGATCTTGGGCTCTTCTGGAGTCCCACTGACGACTGGGACAGCCTATGGGACTATGTACTCGTTTATCTCCACCCCCTCCTCTAGGCCCTAGGCTAGAAGGCTCAGCGAGGCAGGGACCCTCCATCCTTCACAGGCGTAGGGTCAGAGCTGACAATGTCTTGTCATGCACGGGTGCTCAGCTCAGTAAGTGGTGGTTCAATGAATGCCTGAAAAAACAGGTCGCTCAGGTACCCAGGCCCCTCATACATAATGTGGCTAACTCTTCAGCAAAAGAAAAAGTATTCATGGGAGTAACTTCTTTTTTATTCATGGGAGTAAATTTATTTTTATTTTTATTATTAAGTTTATTTATTTTTATTTTTTTAGTACTCTCCACACCCAACGTGGGCTTCTACTCATGATCCCGGGGTCAAGAGTCACATGCTCTTCTGACTGAGCTAGCCAGGTGCCCCTTCTTAGTAAATTTAGTGTACTAATTACCAAATACATGTGGACTCCTGATTGGAAATATTAGTACATCCGTGAATCGGAAACTCTCAGTGCTTTGGGGCACCAGTAATCTCGCCTCTGGATTTTCATTAGTGACTGCAATCCTCTTCTGAGCTATGGGCAAAGAGCCAGGGTCAGCTTCATGGGTATGCGACCTATATGCCTGCACGGGGCCCTGTGATGCACTTAATACTCAATCTGTCTGCCGCCATCTTGATATTCTTTTTTTTTCTTTTGAGTTGTATTTAAGTAATCTCTACACCTAATGTGGAACTCGAACTCACAACCCTGAGATCAAGAGTCATGTGCTCTTCCAACTGAGCCAGCCAGGCACCTGGCCATCTTGGTGTTCTTAAATCATTTTTAAACATGGGGCCCCACAAATTATATAGCCAATCCTGAGTCTTACAAATTAGTTTGATTTCTGGAAGGGATCCAAGGGGTAGCCAGTCTCTATCTAAGGATGCATCTTTCAATAACTAGGGCTGTGTTTTCAACCTCCTGAACTTAAGGTCTAAAAAGAGGGTTGGTTATATATTCAGGACATTTTCTTCTTCTGATATGCATTATATTTTATATTATGTAAGGCTCTCTTCCACAAAATTAGAATTTCTCAGACTAAAGAAATATATGGTTATCTTAGCTATTGCTGTTAGGTAAAAGCTTTTTATGTTTCCTAAAACTAAATTCTACTCTGAACATGATCTACATTGAGTCTCATTGTTAAAATTTTTGCTTAGAATTTTTGCTGTGGTTCTATTAGGGATTGTGTCAATTTTCACAAATCAGTAAGCATGGTTCATATTTTATCATCTTAAATTAAAAGACATCAAGTAAACTAAAAGGAGAAAAATGGGGGCCCCTGGGTGGCACAGTCAGTTAAGCATCTGACTCTTGATTTCGGCTCAGGTCATGATTTCAGGTTTGGGGGACCAGCCCTGAGTTGGGCTTCTTGCTCAGTGGGAAGTCTGCTGAATATTTTCTCCCTCTTCCTCTGCCCCTCTCCCAGCTTGCTCTTTCTCTCAAATAAAAATAAATAAATCTTTAAAAACATAAAATAAAAGGAGAAAAATGAAAACCACTCTAGAATTCCTTTTTATCTTCCACTATTTTAAACTTTAGAAATTCAACAACCACATCGAACACCTGAAATTTCCTTGGAGATAAAATCCTGGCAGGACACATGAGGCTGTGCACGAAGAACACTATTTAGTTACCTTTATTATAAAAGTATTTTAAAATGTAGATGTTTGTTTATACATTACAGATAGCTTCTCTAGTCACTAGAATTTTAAAAGTTTTTTTTTTTTTTTAAAGATTTTATTTATTTGACAGAGAGAGAGAGAGAGAGCGCGAGAGAGGGAACACAAGCAGGGGGAGTGGGAGAAGGAGAAGCAGGCTTTCCGCTGAGCAGGGAGCCCGATGCGGGGCTCGATCCCAGGACCCTGGGATCATGACCTGAGCCGAAGGCAGATGCTTAACGACTGAGCCACCCAAGCGCCCCAGGAAGTTTAAAAGTTAATTGTATTTACAGTTTAGTTCATAAACGTCCAGAGCATTTTAAGTGTGGGCTCATTCTTTTCCCCAACCAGGTGACTGTCCTCCAGGGAATGTGTGGCAACATCTGGAGACATCTGGGTTGTTGTAACTGTAGGGAGGGGACGACTGGCATTTACTGGGTAGGACCAGGATGCTGCTACACATCCCACAAAATGCAGGACAATTTCCACAACAAAAGCTTAACTGGCCCAAAATGTCAACATCCATAGCATCTGCCACAGATGAGCGACAAAGAAACAAGACAACCTTAAGCGTTGCATCCGGTGCCAAAGCCATGTGGTTAAGAATACAAATAGTCCCCATGAGAAACACATCTGATTTATATGAGCAGTCATTTGGGGAACTCCTCTTTTAAGTCAGGGAGTTAGGTATTCCACATCCTGATCTAGAACCATGAATATATTTTCATTAGAATGACCATTAGCTGCAGTGACACAATTCCTTGGTTGGCCCATAAAAGACTACTTTCCTCTATGCAGTGGAAGTACTGCATCCTTCATAGAACACAGGAATTGAGAATCAGAAGAAATCATTTTCAACAGCATTAATCTCGGCTTCCCACCACCTCACTTCATGACAAGTATATTATATCTACATCATAGGTCAGAATTTTTCATTCCCCTCGAGAATGCAATCACCAGGTATAGGAGTTTCTAAGACAGATCTGAAAATGAATGATGCGTGAACCAAATAGGATTGGTTCCTGTGTTTTAAAAAAGAAAAAAAAGAGTCAATATTTAAATCAGGTTTTACTTTGTAAAAGAAATGAAAAATTTTCAGCTATTTTGGGGGAGGGGAGAAAGATCTAGACACCCTGGGTCAGAATCCCTGCACGGTTATGGGGAGGGAATGGCCGATACCCACACAGATCATTTTAGCAGGTCCTCCGTAGGTCACCTGTGCCCAATCAGGCCCCCCTTAAATGCCCCATCCATTACCTGTTCAGTCCCTGTAACATAGTTGATTTTGTAGATTGTTGGTAATTCTCGAGGACATTTTTCTTAATGTTAAGCAACTAAGTTACAAATGGAAAAACCAACTTGTGGTTGGAAGTAGTCTTATAATCAGTAACAGTAATGAATTATAATTAGTGAAGGATGAAATCCACTAGAGATTTGGGGCCCAGGCTAAGGAGGTCCTCCCCAGGGCCAGTGAAGGAAGGGCAGATGAGCTGGGGGCAACCTTCAAACCCTCCCCATGAAATAGAAAAAAAAAAAAAAATCAACTTCTTCCATCTACCAATAAAACTTTGTAAAAGTAAATTTACAGTATATTACATTGTTTTTAAAAATTGCGAAGTCAGCCATTTCTAAGAACTCAGTTTCCCAAAACCGCATCTGGAAGGGCTGCGAAAAATCCATTAAGCAATAGCAGACATCCACCGAGCTCAGTGTTTTTTTTTCTTTTTGCCAGAAGTGAAATCTGTTACCCTATCTTCTGGCAGCCTGTCTGGAACTGCCTGGGCTCCTAGCAGGTAATTTACACTGGTCTTTAAAAACCATTCACCCCTCCTCCTCCCCTCTATAAAACAAATCTGCCTTTCAGAACAGCTCTGAAAGGGGGACAGAATGCCCAGAGCAGGGGACAAATCCCCGACCAAATGCCTCACCTACCACTAGCCAAATTCAGGCCACAGAAACTTGTCGCCTGTTCTCATCTCAAGGAACCAGTGCCTTCTGCGAACCTCGTATATCCTTCCCCGTTGGCCTCTTGTCTTACTAGCTGGAAAATGAAGCCTCTCTTCCCTCTAGAAAGGAATCAAGCAAAGGATGCCAGGGTTGCCGGGTGACTACAAAACTTACCTCCACCTGGGCAGCCCATAAGGTCCAGCCCGGATCTGCAGGCGACCTCATCCACCGTGAGAAAGAAGTGTGTGGCCGGCGAGGGTGCCTGGGGCTCGCTCGGCATCGAGAGAAAGCGCTGCAAGGAGACAAAGCTGTGAGCCTGGGAGGCTTTCACTTCAAAAAGCTAATAACCAAAAACTGGAAGAATTGGAGTCAGAAACTGGGTGCTAACAGAAAAGAAAACAAAAACAAAAAAAGTAACCTAGGAGGGAGTACAATCACCTGTTTTCCTAACAGACCCAGCAGCGCGAGTTTCCGACACCCGCGGGGGAAGGACAGAGAGGGAGCAGGAGGAGAGGGAGAAAAGGGGGGGGGGCTTCGAAGCCCCCTTCCAGTCGCTTGCCCCAAGGCGAGTCATTTCTCATCCTGGGGTCGGCTTCTTCATCAGTACAATGTGGGTAATAATGCCTCTTCGCGGGGCTACCGGGAGGAGTAAATGAAGTTAGAGCTGCTGGCACCCAAGGGACGGGTGTTCGCTCTTCCGCCTACCCACGCCCGCAGCCAACTCCTCTGATTTCTCAGTTCCTACTCGCTACCCGGACCAGGGGGAAAGAAGCCAGAAAAAGTGGCGTTCAGGTGACACTGGGCACCGGAGTCCCGGCCCCGGGCTCCACGGATCGGACCAGGAGTAAGGCCCAGGGAAGGCATCCAGAGCGCACACGCGCTCCCGGCTCACTCCCACCGCGCGTCCGCTCCCTCCGGCCCCGGCTCCGCTTCCTCAACCGCAGCGGAGCCCACCCCGCCCGGGGGCAGCGGAGCCCTGGCTGAGAGCCGGCTCCCTCCCTCGCATCCTTCCCATCCCTCCGCCCGCCACCGGGCGCCGTAGCAGGCGATCCGGGTTGCTGCGACCGGGTGCGACGGAGTGGAGGAGTCGGTTACCTGCAGCAAACCTCTGGCCGCCGGGGCGCAAAAGGGCGCGCTACCGCGCGGCACCCCAAACCGCCGCGCACTGGCTGCGCGGGCGGACCGCGCCTCTCGCCTCCAGGCCTCCTACCCGGCGGCCTCGCCCCTGGCCCCGCCCCGCGAGGCCCCGCCCCCAGCATCCCCGCCTCGCCCACCTCGGAGGTTTGCGGGCGGGGCGGGGTGAGGGGGGCGCGCACGCGGCTCCTGGCCGGGGACAGCGCGCCCTCTGGGTCTCACCGCGCTGCGGCCAGAGAGCCGGCGTCCGCGCGCTTCCTCTCCCCGGCTTCCTCAGGTTCGCCCTGGTCTTAGTTCCCCAAATTGCACAAGGGCTGGGTGCGTAAGTGCGGTCTTCTTCAATATTCTTTGTCCTCCTCCGCGGAGGCAGCAAAGGCGACAAGTACAGCGTTTTCTGATTTAAAAAAAAAAAAAAAGCAAATGCCAAGGTTCTTTATATAATGTAAAATTTAGAGATGACCATGCAGGTTTCTTTTTTCCTGATGAGCCTTTTTAAAAACTCACTGCATTCATGTGTTTTTACATAAAAACTAAGAAATTGTGAAACAATCCACAGTGCCGTGCAAAGTAGAAAACACCTCTTTCCCTACCTTATAGCACATCGTACTCTGTCACTTGTAAAAGTTGACACGGTGTTCTTGGTAGCGAGAGGAATACCGTGTGTACCCCCACTGGACTTCGACCTCCTGGGGAGCAGAACAGGTTCTTACTCATCTTCGTGTCCTGTGTTCATTCACCACACGTGTATTGAAGTAAGTGAAGGGTGGAAGTGGAACTAAGAACTCAGTTTCCCAAAACCGCATCTGGAAGGGCTGCGAAAAATCCATTAAGCAATAGCAGACATCCACCGAGCTCAGTGTTTTTTTTCTTTTTGCCAGAAGTGAAATCTGTTACCCGATCTTCTGGCAGCCTACCAGGTCTTGCTGGGGTCGTAGGGCAAATCGGAGGCCCTCTGAGTAGGTAGGTTTCCCTGCCACCGAAGGCTTGCCTGGTGTCCATCATTCTTCCGGAAGGTCATTGCTCAGGGGAGAGGCTTGAACGCGGAGAGCAGGGCCAGGCTGCTAAGTGAACCACCGAGTCTCCGAGGTTCATCTTCTGGGGCTTCGGACTCGAAGAGGTTAAAGACCCCGGTGGGGGGTGGGGCGGGGCCCGGAAGGTACGCGCAGATCCGTATCTTATCAGTGGGACAGAAATTAGCCTTGGTTTCACAGAAAGCAAATTGGTTTCAAGTTAACCCGCCTCTTTTGTGAAGATCCCAGCTTTCTCTTCAGGGCTTTGGAAAATTCTGGGAAGATTGCTCTGGACTCTTCAGCCCCCTTCCCACCCTTGTGCCGGAGTGTTATGGGTGAAGCAGCACGACGTGGGCCCGTTCTAGTGACAATGGCAGAGGGACTAATGAAATATTCCTGGGGGAAGGTAAATCTTGTCCCTTCCCCAAGGACATTCCTCCTCCATGGAGTGACAATCTTGGAACATACTGCTTTAATTTTATTTTAAAAAGTAATTTTCTGAGGCACCTGGCTGGCTCAGTCAGTAGAGCATGCAACTCTTCATCTCCGGTCATGAGTTTGAGCCCCAGGTTGGGGGTAGCGTTTACTTAATAATAATAAAAATATTTTTAAAGTAATTTTCTTATAGTCAATTTATGCAAGAGTGAGGACGATGGAACCACATGAGTTCCTTTTAAACTGTGGTTTATATTTTTATCATGAAAACAAAAGTGGAACCCGAAATATCTTGTGCAGAATTTGCATTTTGGTCAGAATTAGAAAAAAAAGTAATTGTAGTTTGTTTTCTCCATCGATTGCTAACCCAGATGACCTTTTTAACTAAAGAACTTGAATAAAGACATTGAGAAGGTAAATGAGCTGTGAAAACCCTCATAATGAATTATGAAATTAAATTCATAAATTTTAATGATTCAGTGTTTGAAGCTAAACCTGTCACTTCTTTCCACTGGACTAACCATACTTCTTTCATCCCCACTTGATTAGTTTTTGTTTTGTTTTGTTTTTCTGGGCTTATGTCAAGGATATTTTAAGGTCTCTCTCTCTCTTTTTTAAGATTTTATTGTTAAGCTCAAACTCACAACCCTCGGATCAGGAGTTGCATGCTCCACCAACTGAGCCTGCTAGGCACCCCCTAAGTTGTTTTTTAATCAACACTCCTTAGTATGCCTGAAAGAATAACTCCTTTTAGGGCGCCTGGGTGGCTCAGTTGGTTAAGCGACTGCCTTCGGCTCAGGTCATGATCCCAGGGTCCTGGGATCGAGTCCCACATCGGGCTCCCGGCTCAGCGGTGAGCCTGCTTCTCCCTCTGACCCTCTCCTCTCTCATGCTGTTTCTCTCTCGCTCGCTCTCTAATAAAAATAAATTAAGAAAAAAAAAGAATAACTCCTTTTAATTTCTAAAGGAGTAATCAAATTTGCTTGCTTTTGAGTTACCATTAAAGATTTATATCTTAAAAAAGAAAAGAAAATGTGCATATCTTATGACCCAGCAATTCTACTCTTTGGCATCAAATCAACAGTTGTATTGTCTAATGTAGTAGCCACAAGGCACACGTGGCCAGTGAGCCCTTGGAATTGTCCAGACTTCTTTGAAATGTGTGGTAAGTGTAAAATACACAATAGGTTCTGAAGATTTAATATGAAAGAAAAAAGAATTTAAAATATCTCTATGTTTAAATATTGATTATATGTTGAAATGATCATATTTTGGATATATTGATTTAAACATTCAAATAAAAAAATAAAAGGGTGAATAAAATTTGTTACTGGCTTAATAGTTGGAACATTGAATATATGTTGCCAAAGCAATGCTAGTTCTGTTCCCTAACATAACTTGTACAACATTGTGCTTCAGGTATATTATGTGCATTGATGGATTGATCTGATCATCTCAGTTTAATGTGTAATATTGTCTTGATAGGAAGATTGACTTCAAGATCCAACCAGTGGATTTGTAAATTAACTTTTAGAATGTCTTTTTGGTCAGTGGGGTACGGTGGGTATCCCATAAATGTGAGTACTTATTTTTAATGACAATAACATAAACCTATCATAAAGCTACACGTGTAGTCCACAAGGTCTTTCTGGATCTCTTCAGGGCATATCTGTCAGGGGCCTGTCAGAAAACAGGTATCACAGCAGAGATTTTTACAGAGAATTGAGGGAGTTGGTTAAACGGGCGTAAAGGGACACATTGCAGTAATGGGGAGGTAGCAAGGACAGGAAGCAGCTGTCTCAGGGAGAGTTGGAGAGAAGGAGCTAGTATTGGAAACTAAGAGCTGCCTGCCTGCTAGAAGGCCCCTGGGGTGCTGGGACTCTGGCCTCTAAGGAAGGGATGGTACCCAGCTGGTGGTGATATTTCTTGAAGGCAACTGTTGAGGCTGGATCTGAGAGGGTAGATTAATACTAGAAATCAGAACCAACTGCTGCAAGGGGGGGGGGGGGGGACCATTGCTTTGTGACAATGGCAGGCACGGCAAGCAAATGTCAAGGAGCAAGTCCCTTTTCCTTTCTCCTGCCTCCGGGTCTCCTCAAGCACCTGCTATCGGCAAAACCTTAACAGAAAACATGCAGAGCCATAGCCTCAGTGAACCGAGTACCTTAGACATAACTTAATAACTAGCAGAAGGAGCAAATTCATGATTATAAATATCAACTATCCTCATATTACAGATGTAGGGAAGTGGTAATAAATGGAGCTGTTACATTGATGATTAATATGATTGTTACACATTTTTAAAAAATATCATAGGGGCGCCTGGGTGGCTCAGTCCTTTGAGTGTCCGACTCTTGATTTCAGCTCAGGTCATGATCTTGGGATCATGGGATCAAGGCCCTCGTTGTGCTTGTGCTCAGCGGGGAGTCTGCTTGGGATTCTTCCTACCCACCCCCCGCCACTCTCTCTCTCTCTCTCAAATAAGTCTTTTTTAAAAATATATCAAAATAAAACTACAGTTAAAATTATACTCAAATAAGAGAACATTGAACGTGACCCAAAACCTGTGCTCCCAGAAGGCAGTGCTGGTTAAAGAAACTTCCACACCCATACTCCCTTGTGTTCCGGGAGACAGCTTTCTGCAAAGAACCACCACCTTTCCTCAAATGACTTTGGTGAGACTCACAGAGAGTTGTTTATCTATGACGAGGTCAAACACAGACCATTCAAATTCCCTTTGTGTCTCAGAAATGGTTAGCTGGGCCGTTTGTGCCCCCCTGACTAATCAGCACAAAGTGCCTGCTCGCTTTACTTGATGAAACTTTATTCAAGCTTCCCTCCTTCCCCACACCCTCGAGCTTTCATCCATCCTCAGCCTAAGCCAGCAGTGGGATGAGGAATACACCCCTAATGGACCCTACCAACAAACCCCTTCCTAGCTGATTTCAAAGAAACCTTTTTTGACCAATTGTCTGATCCTGGCACCTGCTCATTCCTACCCCTGAGACCTGTTTTTTCTAGCCTTGTTGGCTCCTCCTTATAAAAGAAAAGACTTTTACTGCCTGACCTTTCAGAAGCTTGAAGATCTTACAATCAAACCAGTCTCCCTATTATAATCCCTCTCCCCCAAGTGCAGTAAGCCCCTTCCCCTAGTTGCAATAATTTTTTTGAATGAAGTCTCTGCCTTCCCTAAGTCCAGGTTTGTTGTTTATTGGACAGTTTTCTGGTGCTACGACTTGGCTCAAGAGTAGAACTCACCTAGGGATCTCCACCATCCCCACCAGGTAATGATATACCCTGTCCTGCAATTTGAGGATCTGTCCCTGAGCTCGTGTCTCAAGCTAATGCTCTGGATGTCCTGTCTACTGAAGCACAGTATTGTTATTCTCGGGCTTTGAAGCAAAAAGAGAATCTTTTTCCAGCAAAGATTCTTTCTTTGGTCTTCTCATGAGGCCTCTTCTGTTTTTCCTGGGTTCCTCAACCCAGGTACTGTGGGAGAGTCTTCATCAAGTGACACTTTCAGTTTCTTTACAGTTTATTTCCTCAGGTTAATCCCACAGGTAACTCTCACTCTCTCAGGTACCTTCTCTTCTCTCCCGTGTCATCATGGCACTAGTTCAGTTTAATATCTTCAAGAATTGGCAAAATTTACT